CCCTACCAAATAAACCACCATAGCTCTCTTCTCTCCAAAAGTCACCAAAAGCAGCTCTGGTCCCCCTTCCAGAAGAAAAGTTTGTTTCATACCTTACTAAAAAATACTGAGGGCATCTATTGCAAGCTCCCTCTTCTACTCAATTCCTCATTTCAAATCCCCTCAAGGTCAACCCCTCTTTCTCTTCTTTTGTTCTAGTCTCAAAGGAATAAGTATTCCTTCTTGCTAAGGCTAGCTCCTCTTCTTATTCCTTCAATTCTATCCATTCATATCTCCTCCAGTAATGTCCCCCTTCAAGCATTCCCTCTAATTTTCTATCTCACCCATTAGTTCCATCTCTGATAGCTATACTATAAAAAGGTCAAGATCCCCTCTCATCCATAACAAACCATCACTTGATTTTATCATCTCCCTTAAGTAATGTATGTGGTATGGGTATGTGTATGAAGCCTTCCTTTTACAGACAAACTCCTAGAAAGAGCTTTAACTGAGAGCTATTAAGAGCTATTAAGCACTCATTGCCTTAACTTCCTTATATCCTACTCATTTCACAATCTCTTAAAATCTGGCTTCCAATACCATTATTCAACTGAAATTGTTCTAAAAGTCACTATCAATCTCTTAAATTGTTAAATCCAATGGATTTTTCTCATCTCTCATCCTTCTTGACCTCTTTCTAACATCTGATAGTGTTGAGCACCCCCTCTTCCTAGAAAGGATCTCTTTCCTATGTTTTCAGGACACTGCTCTTTCCTAGTTCTCTTCCAACCTGCCCAATTGTTTTTTCTTGGTATCCTTTGATAGATTATCATTCATGTTCCAACCCCTGTGTGAAAGTCATATTCCAGGGCTCTGTCCTGGACTCTCTTCTATTCTCTCTCTATGCTCTCAGTGGTCTAATCATCTCCCAAGTATACAATTATCCTCTCTATGGAAAAGATTCTCATTCTAAACATCAGCACTCATCTATCTCCTAAATTCCAGTCCCACATTACCAACAGTTTGCTTGACATTTCCCCTTGGATGTGCCATTGACATCTCAAATTTAACACGTCCAAAAAAGAGTTCAAATCTTCCAACTCAACCCACGCCTCTAATTTTACTATTTCCTTTGAGACTACTATTATCACCCAGGTTCACAACTCCAAAATAACTCCATTTTCAGTCTCTCTCCCTCATTCCCCATATCCAATCAGTTCCCAAGTCACATCAATTCTACCTCAATACACTGTTCTCATCTGTCTTCTCTCCATTCATATAAATACCATTCTGGTTCAGTCCCTCATCAACTCTTCCCTAAACTACTGTAAGAACCTAACTGGTCTTCCTACGTCTCCAATTCAATAGGTACAGTGCTACCAAATTGATATTCCTAAAGTACAGTTTGGATGATGATACTTTCCTGTTAAAGAAGTTTCAGTGGTTTCTCTATTGCCTCTAGGATAAAATATAAATTCCACCATTTGGCATTTAAAAGTTCTTCACTATCAGGCTCCAACTTATCTTTCTAAACTGATTTTACATTAGTTTCTGGTTCATCTCTCCAGGGCCTGATAAAAAGAAGTAGAAGGATGGACAATGCTAGGACTTCTAATTTTCTCCAAGAATTTTTATAGCTGTTTATCTCTGTGCTTTCAACCTAGAAATGCTGTCACTTTGATCTGTACAAAGATTAACCCACCTGTAACTTAAGCTTATTCTTTATGCTAAGAGATCTAGAAAAATTTCAGATTTGCTTTTTCACCATAAGCCCTTTGTGTTTATAAATTATATTTTGTAAATTGTATGTGGCTCCTGAGTGATATTTCAAACTATCCTGAGAGTAACACTGATTATGTTACCAGCAACTACAGAGCAACAGTTCTACTTAATACTAGCAGCAACAGATGTTCAAAAATAACATGCAGATACTAGAATCACAGCTGAAAATATCAACACAACTATTACTATCTTGGCAATCTGCTAGCAAGCATCAGCTCTAACTTATATAACATACAATATTTTAATATTACAAGGATCCATGATTTCATCAATGTTGGATACTCCTTTCCTCTAAGGCAGATCATCAACCCATCCACACCTTAATAGATAGTATTCATGAGTTGCTATGGCTAAAAAGAAATCATCACTTAAATCAACTGGTAATAAGCTGCTTCAAACTTAGGTTGGTATTTCTATGAAAGTCAGTAAGTCTGAATTCAGACTAGCCTGTCTGAAACAATGTTTTACATTGTAATTAGGTCCCAGCTTGGCAGGCTAGGGCCTGGGCCCTGGCCCAGGTATAGTGGTATAGCCTTCAAGAACCTAGGGTGATCGCTTTATCACAGCGAGTCACTAGAGGTTGACTTTGGTGGATGGATAGATGCAGTGTAACAATGCTTTTTAAGCTAAAATAAAAGAATAAGTTTATGGGAGCGTGGTAAGAATGATTATTTTTAAAGTAGAGTATCTAGTCTTCCTCTACATATAACACACCAAAAATAACATACGAAGAACTCTTATGTATATTCTTTAATATAAATACTCATGACTAAAGCCATCCCAAGAGTTTAAATGTCAATGTGACTATATTTAGAGATGTGAAAAAAATCAAATATGTCAAATTGCATTTAAATATAACCACAGAATCATTTCAGGAATAGTTATACCACAAAGAACACAATAAACAACAGTTAAGGGTTCACAAATCATAAAAACATTAACAAGCTATCTTAATATATCAATATCTTTGATCAAAAGGCATGATTAAAATACTAATGGTAAAAGTCAGATAAAAAGTTATATTTTCATTGTTCTTATTAGCACAGCATTTGCATAATAATATCAAAATTTTAAAAACAAGTTCCTGACTGTTCATTTTGACTAGATATTCACCACTCAATGGTCATTTTAACATCCTACATGGTACTAATTAGGATTTGTGAAGAGAGATGAAATTAAATACCTAAAATATAACCTTTTTAAAAAAATATTAAATTTAGATTCATCTTGTGAAAGTTTACTTTAGCAGCACAGCCGTTAAAAGGCCAAATAAATGAGCTCCATGGCTTAGTGGAAAGAACATCTTACTTGGAATTAGAAGACCTAGATTAAGTGCCAGTTTTAACACTGATTAGCCATGTCCTTACTGGGGCAAATCATCGACCTCTTTGCACCCTAAGTTTCCTCATCTGTAAAATGAAAATAACAATACTTATACTACCTAGCTCAGAGAGTTATTGAAAGGGAAATAATTTGTTAACCTTAAAGTACTATATAAACAGGAGCTACTGTAAGTGCAATGATGCCTTTATTGTACTTTACATCTGCTAATAAAATACATAACATCTTATGACACCTAAGAATCATCTAAATCTGTGCATCAATTTGAAACTGAAAATATTATACAAAAATGGAATTCTGAAATTAATCCTTATCTAAATTCTAAATCAGGCACATACATAATGCATGATATAAAATAGAGTTGAATCTTAAAAGAAACTGACTTTCTATTTTTCAAATCTTTAATAAAATATAACAAAATTATAGTAAGATATTTGGGACCTGATTAAAAATATTTGATGTAGTTTATAGCACTAGCTATAAATTAACATTCAATACCACCTAAATATTTTATCTTTGAACTACTCAAAATATGTAATATCTTGTGGAATGAGTTAACAATTAGCTCTCTTACTAAAAATTTCTCCAAACACTTATGCCCATACAAGTTACTTCACACAAACAAAGCATTTGTGCAAATAAAAAGTATAAATGATCTGGTCAGTTGGTATACACTCCTAATAATTCCCTCTGTCTTCTTGACATCAGTCCTAGAAGTCTTTAGCCATTTAGCTAAGGTCAGTGAACCAGCATGGTGCATTTCAAACACCAACTCTCAGAACTCTATGAGTATATATTCTCAGGCTGAATTACCACAGCCTTAGCACATTTTCAAGTTTCTATCCACAGCCATCAATTAGCATATACTCAGGCAATAAAGATTAATTTTAATAAGTTTAAAGCAAAAGAAATGGAAAGTTAAATATAAGTAGTTATAAAATTTGTCTGCTATGTGCAAGGCACTATATGCTAAGAGCTTCTACATATATTACTTTATTTGAGACTCACAACACCGTAAGACAGGTGCTATAATTATTCCCATTTTACAGTTGAGAAAAATAAGGCAAACAAGTTAAGTGACTTGCTCTGTATCATATAGCTAGTAAGTGTCTAACACCAAATTTGAACTCAGGTCTTCCTGACAGGCCCAGTGTTCCAGCCAATGAACCACCAGCTGCCTCTAGAAGCAGAGAATAGATGGGCAAGGAGTACCAAGCAACAGCTAGGAACTAGGAAGAAAGAAAGAGACAGAGATGGAAAGGCATAGCCTAAAGTGAGTCCAGGGATGAGGAACCTGTAGCCTCAAGGCTACATGTGGCCCTCTAGCTCTTCAAATGTGGCTCTTTGATTGAATCCAAACTTCATAGAACAATTCCCTTTAATAAAAGGATTGGTTCTGTAAAATTTGGGACTCAGTCAAAAGGCCACACTGAAGGACCTAGAAGGCCACATGTGGCCTCAAGGCCACAGGTTCCCCATCCCTGGAACCAACAGTGATGGCATTAGGAAGAGGAGTTCCTATGACCATTAGCTACTCCAGGAAATGGGTTCTTTTTTTATTTTCAAGTTGCAACCAAGATACACATTTCAAACTTATACCATTTGAGTTACAAACATTTTTGTTAACATACTGATCAAATATAACCAAATATCTAAAACTGCATCAGTAATTATCCATCCTCCCAATCACCAAAAAGAAAAAAGAAAAACGAAAAACCTCTCAGATAAATCATTCCAAAGGTTTACAGATACTGAAGAGAAGCCCTCTTTACAAAAAAATCTATTATAAAGTCCAAATTTTCAACATTAAGTACAAATGCAAATAAATAACCAAAAAAAATAAGCTGTTAAAAGAAAGAATTATTTCTTAATCATAAAAAATAAAAAGTTAAAGTTACCTGAAACTATAGTAAAAAAACTAAAATTTCAAGGAAGGGGATGCTGTAGAGTTGAAAATGAAATCATGATGGAGTTCCCACCCTTTTCAGACTTAAGAAATCCTCTACACTTCTTTAATCACTTGTGCCATTCTATTCCTGCAAAACAACAAACAAACATACATATGAGTGTATACATATGCACATATATACATATACATATATGATATAAAAGTTTAAGCAATGTTATTATCAAGTTTTTTAAAACATCTGTAAGAGAACTTTGGGAAGGAAAACAAAATACATAAATACAATATGGAGAAATACTAGCAACATGCCAAAGAGGAACCCCTGGCATAGGGACCAAAGGGTCATCCTTGGAGTCAGGAAGACTTGGATTCAGGTTGCACTTCTACCACCTACTAACTCTTTATGACCCAGGGCAAGTTACAATCTTTGAGAGCTCCAAACTATGAATATAAGTTGCATGAGAGTTATTGAACTGTATTGGTAGAGAGAGTTTCCTCGTAAGCAATTTTCTTTCTTTTTTTTTTTTTTTTGGCTAGGCAATCAGGGTTAAGTGACTTGCCCAAGGTCACACAGCTAGCCAAGTGCCAAGTGAGCAATTTTCTTTCTTGAAGAATTCCCTACACATATGAAATCACAAGTCTGAACCAAAAAAAGAAAAGAAAATACTGCTGATATGAATCACAAACATACTATTGTGGAAGAAAAAGTAACTTGTGTATATAAATTCAGACACTATACAAAGTAATAGTAATGAAATAATCCTTTCATTGTTACTAGTACTGGGTAAATCTTTATTAGACTATTTTGTCTAATTCTGAATTCTGCTTTGAAGATAAAGAAATCTGGAGGAAAATCATTTAATGATATTTTAATGACAATTTAATGATAAAAAAATTTTTAATGGGTCTTACAAGAAAAATGTTAAAAGGACAAAGGAGTAGGTATGAGAACAATTTAAAAAGTCCCTGTTCCATATGTGTGGTTTGTTCTCATGTACAGCTCATATAGAATGTGCCATAAAGAAATAGTCATAGTGATAGACCCTAAAAATAACAAACAAGAGCTACTAACAGACAGAAGAGACACATATGGAAAGGGGTGCAGTTCACAGTCACGTTTATACTATTAAATAAGTATATCATCAGCAGGATAAACTTTGACTAGAAAGGAAGAGAAAAATGGGAAGAGCTATAATATGAAGAAGGATACCAGATGTTCTCCAAGATATATCATGGAAAAATATGATTAAACCAAGATAGAAGGGGCTCTCGAGCTAGGCATAAGAAGGATTTACTGAGAATTTACTGAAAATAAGCATTACTAAACACTGAAATGTATTAAAGAACACGAAATTTCCTATACTTGTGGTCTTTATATTAGATTCCCATCTTTCAGGAACAGTTTAACTGAATCCCTTGCCTGGAAGCAAGGGAATAAATTAGATATCTGAAGATCTCCATAATTCTACAATAACTCAGAACTAGAGAAAGGAAAAGAAATGACAAAAATGCTTTTCTAACAGTCTGCTATCAAAATGCTGCTATTGTGGAGCTTAGAAAAAAAACAAAAAACTACAATCTAAGCAACACTGACTTCACTGCTGTTCCTCACACAAGACTGTATTTCTCATCTTCAGTATTTTCACTGGCTGTCCCTCACACTTAAAATTCTTTTCCTCCTCATCTCCATTCCCTCACTTCCGTGGCGTCTTTCAAGTCTCAGCTTAAATTCCACCTTCTTTAAGAAACCTTTCCTGATCTCCCTAAATGATAGCACCTTCCCTAGGTTAATTATCTTCACTTTATACTGTAAATATCTTGTTTGTATATAGTTTTTTGCAATGTTATCTTCCCCGTTAGATTGAGGTCAGCAACTATTTTTGCTTTTTCATTGTAAACCTAGCACATAATATAGTGCCTAGCACACAGCAAGTGCTTTAAATGCTTATTGACTTATCTTAACTATTGACCATCTTAACTATCATTTTTCCATGCCTTTATTGCACATTCAGCCCCAAACAAACAGGTAAGACATAGGAAATATAAATCAAAAATGCAAACAAGAATTATAGGAAAAGTAGGAGGTGGGTTAATTAAAAAGGAAATTTGGAGTTATATAATGTAATTATATAACTATTTTTTTTTCATAGCATGAAAGGCTTTTATTCACTTTACAGATAACCTAAGTTCACATCCTCAAGTTTTCAAAGGTAATGTTAAAAAAAGTTTTGAGAAAAACTGCAAGAATTTTCATGCATTTATAGTCCATATGGGAATGTAAGCCTGAAATAGATATTTAAACACTTCAAGAAGGATGCTATGCTTAAAAATGTTTTACTTTCAAAAAACCAAAGTATATCATTCATATTCTGAAGTAGAAAAGGGGCTTAAATAAGGAAGGGGTTCAAAAATGATTTAAAATAATGTAAATATAAACAACTGAAGACAACTTCAATGCTATGCCCTAAAAAACTAATAATGTTAATTAAAATAGCATAAATGTTCTTATTTACATAGTCTCAGATTCATAATGTTCACACGGCCAGAGAGCTAGATGGTCAACAGCTGAATGTTTTTATAAAGGTTAATAAACTGTCTGACTTCCAAGATAAGTACTACTTAACATTTCTTATTTTTAACACAAATGTATATCTGAGTCTGTCCAATCTGTTACACGTAAAATCTAAGGGACAAATAAACCAGAATTGGCCTACCTCCATATAGTAGGCCAAGTAGATTCCCATTATGTCAAGTCTCTAGGCTGAGCTTCCAATCTGCTGCTTCCTCTCTTTATCCTATAAAAACATAAAAATACAGGTTAACCCCAAAGAGCACTGGGTAGATTTTCTAAAAAACTAAGAGAAAAACATTCTGTAGGAAAATCTTTTCACATGTTGTAGTTTATAAGATAAATTTGGTTTTGACTGACATTCTGCCCAAACCAAATTCATCTTAACTGATACCACACTAATAAGAGAATAAATGGCTATTTGAAACTAACTGAACTATTATTTTCTATTTGAATTTCATCTCAAACTTAATTCTTGACAGGAAAATAACCTTCTTTAAAATTTAGGTGATAAACTCACATCAATACATATTTTAAAACAATACTACTAAAATAATAAAGTCTTATAAGAAAATTAGTTCATAAAGGCCTGTAAGTCTAAAGATATTAGGAATTTACAGGTCCTAAATGGTTGTTTTTAGAAGTATAATTAAAAACCATATCAAGTGCTTAACATTTTCAAGCAGAAAGTATTAAGTCGTTTAATATGACTAAAACCACACTTGGATTTAAGCTATTATAGCTATTAAAAAAAAAGAAAGTCAGGCCATGAGCGTGAAACACAAAAGATTACAGAAACCTGACACCACATTTGCTTATGGAGATTTTTGTCAATTAAGAGAGGACTTTTTTCCTCAGTATGTAATATGTATCAACTTCAGCCTGAATTTGTGAGAATTTAGCAGTCTCAGAAAAAAAAGCATGCCTAATTCAGATATTTTCCTTTAGAAAACAATCAAGATTAATAGCAGAGCATTAGGAATAGTAGGCAGTCAATAAATATTCATAAACTTAAAGTAAAAAAAGCTAATATTTTAAAAATTATATTCAGAAAAAAGTTTAAAAAAGTAAATTTTAGGAAAAATAATGTATAACAGACTTATATAATTTTATCAGGATATTACAAGCACTAAGACCTTTATGATAAACATTTTCAGAGTCGTTTTTCAGTAATTCTGTTGCTAAACCATTATCTGTATAGATTCACTTCTTAAATTTAACTGGGTATTTTTTCATTATTCGGTATATGGAAGTTATGTTTTTATTAAGTATTCATTCACATGTAGGCTCTTCAGGACAAGCTCTTTTCTTTTTTCTTAGGAAAAGTTCTTTTCAACATGTTTTTAAGCTCTAGTTTGACACCATATACACCATTCCACTGTACCTGAAAGTCACAAAAATCCTTCTACACTAATAACATCAACTCTTTTCCAACACTAGCAGCAACCAAAACAAGGTGATATAAAATCATAAGCTCTTTGCTGTTGTGTTAATAGTTTATCAAGTAAATTATAGAAATTAACATAAAAATCTGCGTTTCTTCCAAATCACATGAAATGTTTAATTTTGGTTTTGCTATACTATTACTCATTCACTCCTGCATTAGGATCAATTCCATATTCTGCATTTAAGAACTGGTGGAAAATCTTGGATAATTGCCAGAATTTAGTGGAATGTTACATACAGTATCTTACTGGTCATGCTGAAATAAAAATTATGTTGCAAAACTTTAAAACATTAAAAAGGGATATAAAAAAACAACCAACCAGAAAATACAATGTAGTGGAAAGAGACTCAAAGTTCAAATCCAGTTTTACAACTTATTTTCTGTGTGATCTTGGTCACTTTACCTGAATCTTATCTTTATTTATCTTATTTATACATTCATTAATTTATCTATTTATCTTATCCTTATCTTTAAAATGATAAATCTCCTCAAAAATCCCTTACAGCTTTAATACCGTCAATCAAACTGCTGCATCCCAGCACTGGATTACTGATTTTTTTTTTTTTTGCTAAAAATGATGAGAAATTCAATATAACTATAATCATCAGATGTCATGGAGAATGTAAAATAGGGGATAATCTGCTGCAGGGAAAAAAATAAGGCAGAATCTGGAGTCAGAAAATTTATGTCTGAATCTCAGCTATGCCATTTACTACTTGCATGATTCTGTTTAAGTCACAACCTTCCTGGGCCTCAGTTTCCTCAACTATAAAAAGAGGGAGTTAAACTAGTTAGCCTCATTTTCCTCATTTGCAAAAGGAAATGATAATAGCACTTACCTCACAGGGTGTTGTAAAGATGAAATGGGAAAATATGTGGGAAGTGTTTTGCAAACCTTAAAGTGCTATGTAAGTATCAGTTAATATTATGTTGTTATTGTTATACAATGAAGTGACTAATTATGTGGAGAAGCTTATTCTGCTAAGTATACTCTCACAGAAAGTCTACTCCCTTTTAATGTCATTTTTTCATTAAAAGGAAAACCAACATTGACAGTGATAGCATATTAACATAGATGGGAAAAAGGAAAGCAAGGCAGACAGGATAAAAGCAACATGGTATTATTAAAGGACTTTAATAAGGTCCTTTTAGGACTTTATTAAAGGCTTAAATCAAATATCCATGTACCTGAGCAAAAAAATTAGAATCCATCTCCTATATGCTTCAACTTTTCCAACTAACATTTATCCCCCATAAGACTAAGCCACTCACATCCTGCCTCTTTCAAATGAACTATCAAGTCCCCTATTTGTGATTATCTCTTTCTGTTTCATTTCTTCTTGTATTTCTTCTCTCCTTCCTTTCACCTCTTTCCCCTTGCCCATTTCTCTCTCTGGCTCTCTATCAGGGTCCTGGGTTGGAATTTGTGCCACTGCAAGTGGACAATTTATCTAACAGCTAAACAAGTTTCTTCTCCCCACACTATCCCCACAGAGCAAATGGCCTACATTCTCTTATTAATTCCTGTTTATCAATTTATTATTCGATTCAAAGTTTTATTGTCTATTTCCCTGGTTACTCATTTTAAAGCCCAGAACAGTAGCAAACAAAGAATATGGACAAACAGTTGTATAGAAAATTGACACATATAGCACTTTAAATATCAAAGGTACTTTACATAATTTCATTTGAACCTCCTAACAATCCTGTGAAGCACATGCTGCAGGTACTATTATCTGCACTTTATAAATAAGGCTCCAAAAAATTAAGTGACTTGCAAAAGTGTCAGGATAATAAGTCAAATTAAATCCAAGCCTTTCTAGCTCCATTACTTCAAGCTATCGTTTATTTTCATATACATACTCACACACAAACTAAAATAGGAGTACCAATATTTTTTAACACAAATCAAAGTGGTCTTCTATCATTCAATTATGCAGCAGGTGGTAAGTTCCATTTATGATCAGAATACTTATTTTTTTCATCACATGTACTAATTCACCATGAGTTTCCAATTATAATAGAGGCAAGCTTCTATGATTGCTAATATCATAGCAACACTGGCACTAAAGTCTCTTCTAACATTTCCCACTTTTGATTTATGGTGTCATGTTTTAATTAATAGCAGCATTCCAAAAGTCAATGAGATATTTTGGGGTGCTTAAAAGGCAAAGGATGAACCAAACAAATTTTTAATATCCCTTAGAAACTTACGAATTCAATGTATAATTAATCTACATTTATTTAGAGGCTACCATATAGTGAGCATTAAAAAGTATGGCAGTCTCTACCCTAAAGGAACTTACAATTTGTTTAAATAAAGATAAAAAATGAAAAATAATTATACAAAATTACTATATATTTTAAGTTACTGTAAAAGTGTTTTTTTAAACATTTATTTCAACTCAAAAAAATTTTTTTATTTATTCTTTTTATTTCTCTGTCTTAGTCATTCTTGTTCTCTTACTAAGAGCACAATAATAGATCGGCTGAACTCAGGCCTGTACATGGAAGATTTAGAGAAGAAATGGAAGGATAAAGGGAATTAAAAACGTCCCATATTCAGATCAAAATAGTAGTTGAGAAAATAACTAGCCAACCACTGAAGAAAAATAGCATAAAAATATAGGTTATTCAATTTGGAATTATGAGAGATCAATTAGGACTGGAATAGTTAGGTAATAAGGCATCAAAGGTACAGATGCGCCTTAAGTTTGGACCTTAAAACAAAAGCAAGATTTGGATCCTACTCTTTAGTTAGCTAGAAGGGAAGAGCAAAGGGTCCAGAGGGCATGGAGTATGATATTCCGGAGGGCAAAGGAGATCGGACTACAACCTAGAATCACCTACCCAGCAAAACTAAGTATAATCATTCAGGGTAAAAAATGGTCATTCAATGAAATAGTGGACTTTCAAGCATTCCTGAGGAAAAGACCAGGGCTGAATAGAAAATCTGACCTTCAAATACAAGACTCAAGTGAAACGTGGAAGAGGTAAACAGGAAAGAGAAATCATGAGCCTTATTAAGGTTGAACTGTTCACATTCCTGTAGGGAAAAATGATACTTATAACTCATGAGTCCTTTGTCAGTATTAGGGTAGTAGGAGGGAAAAAAATTATATGTATGTATAGATAGAGGGCACAGGGTGAGTTGAAGATGAAGGGGTAATATCTGGAAAATAAAATTAAGGGGTGAGAGAGGATTATACTGGGAGAAGGAGAAAGGGAGAAGTAGGAGGTGGTAAAATATCTCACATGAAACAGACAAGAAAAGGCTTTTACAGTGGAGGGGAAATGGGGGAAGGTGAGAGGGAATGAGTGAATCTTACTCTCAGAATTTGGCTTAAGGAGGGAATAACAGAGCAGGGGGTTGATAGAGCGGAGGGCAGACTGGAGGAGGGGATAATCAAAAGCAAACACTTCTGAGGAGGGACAAGGTCAAAAGAGAGAATAGAATAAATGGGGGTAGGATAGGATGAAGGGAAATACACTTAGTTTTTCACAAGAGGACTACTATGGAAGTGTTTTGCATGACTACACATCTATAACCTGTATCTAGATGCTTGCCTTTTCAATGAGGGTGCGTGGGGAGAGAGGAAGGGAGAAATTTGTAACCCAAAGTTTTAAAAACATATGTTAAAAACAAAAAAAAGGAAAAAAAAAGAGAAGAGCAGAAGAAATTTCCCTGTAAGGACAACATGAGCAAAGATAAGAAAATAGTAATGAGCATGTCACGTTCAAATGACAATGAAGATGGGACTGGCTTAAAAACAGTCCTG